GATAACGAATCCTTTATGATATCGAAGAAAATAGTAAAATCTAGTAGATTCTTGCAGTACGGGAACAGACCAATTATGTATAGATGGGTCCAAGATGTATTTAATAAGGTGTATGCATCAGATACAACAACAAATATTTTACAAAAACAACATTGTTTTTATAGAAATTAAATTGTCATGCTGACAATAAGTTTTTGACAAAAATAAACAAAAACAATTATTAATTTATTTTTGTCAATAACTATTCTTTGAGGACTAATTAATGAATTTGTGTATTCTTGGGTTATTGCCGGTTTTAGGTCAGTGAAAAATAAAGTTTAAGGCCTGGTCGCGATTAATTTTAAGTTTCCCACAATTAGCCCTTAGCTCCTCCTGATGTTGTTTATATTGTGGATTACAATCAATTTTTTCTATGGAGTGGCTTCAAATCTTGCCTTCTTATAGAAAATTGAAGGACATAAATCCCCGGCCAAAGACTAAATCATGGAAATTGTGTTGACCGTATAAAATCTTTCCATAGGCGTATTTAACCTCCGCCGAGAATTGTGACAAGCATCAAGGGATCGTAAAATCTTCTCGATTTTATGAGTTGCTGGGATTTCTGGGCAGATTTCCACACATAACATAAAATATGTGGAGCAATCGGCGAACGGTGTTATAACTGAGCCTAAGTTTCCTTTCCGCCCCCCTATATGAATGTAGTTTTCTTGAATTTTTATTATTAAAAAAGCCTAAATTTAAAGACCATTTTTGAAATCGAAATGTAATATTAAAAACGTTTTTGACAATTTACTTCACAAACAATAAAGAAAAAAGTTTGAAACCATATGATTGCCACTAACACCTTATTAAATACACCTTGGATGGGTCCCTTTACTGTGTCTGAAATTATATTTCCAATAAGCACAAATAAATTGTGTCAATGTTAAAATTTTGGGAAATATTCATAATATTCAGTGTACTCTGCAACAGATTGTTTCGCTTATTTGAACGTTTTTTAACAATTTTATAAAATAAGAAAAACATAGCGAAAAATTTATATAATGTCTAATTTTTTTTTTAAATATTCGCTTGCAAACATTTTCATTTACGAATTTTATTTTGAATTTTTATTACAATTGAATTTGAGAACAATTTCTAAATTTTATTGTATCGTATCATCTCAGCAGCTACATATATTAGGTGTGTCTGATTACTTTTCCAGTAACATTTATTCAGTAAGTTCTAGTTCAGAGAGTAAGCCTTTTTTACCTTTGTAATAATACTGTGAAAAGTAAACAGACAACATTAGTAAGATTTAGCAAATAAACAGCTGATTCAAGAAAATATTTGATTTGCGCCAAAATAAACAACAAACAAAGGACGAACACAATTATTTGTATTGCATTTAATATTAAAAATAAAATGAATAATAAAAATTGATATGGTATGTTCCCCGAGAACATTTAAGCTTCCTGCATCACTACATTGCCTCTATCTGAACTTGCCTAAAAATATATAAGGAATTAGTTTCTAATTTAATGAAACTTTGTATTACTTACGAATTTTCTTCCATTTTGTGTAATTTTTGTACAACTTAATTTCAAATTGAACTTTGCAAATTAAAAAAAAAATGTTTTGAATAATTTTTGTGTTTGGTCATAAAACAAGTGATCCAAAAATGGCTGAGTTTGCAAAATCTTACTGCATAATATTCTTTCAGTGAACTCCAGTAAGTTTGTTGTTCAACTGTCGAACTTGCTCTCTCACTTGACTCTCTTTTACTGGATTTTTGGGTAAACAGACAACATTTAGTAACATTTGGCAATAATTGTTACCAAATATCGAGTAGACAGACAGATCTATTATTGTTTATTTTCCATTTTTAGCACAAATAATTCACAAAACTAAATATTTTCTCCTTTTTTATATTTTTTTCTAATTTGTTTTTTTCCTGGTTTGTAATAAATATACAGTGACGAGCAGAAATGTGTACATGTTTGTGCATTGGACACTTTACGTCATAAAAATAAAAATATAAAAGCAAATTCAAAAATGTTGTTTATAACGTATTTCGTACTTAACAAATCAACCTAAAGTTATAGAATTTAGCTCTTTAATTTCTAAGAAAAAAAAAACAGAGAAAAGTAAATCAGCCCCAATGTACTCACTTTTGCACTTTCATTGGAATTATTCTTCCAATCACCTCAGATCCACTGCCAAAGGTCGTCTAAATTATTAGGGGCTGATTGGTATTGTCCCACCTCTCTCTTTGCGATTGGCCCAAATTATCGTTCGGATTGATGTCGAAACATTGTGCTGACCACTGTGTTAATTCAAAATTTTGCTCACGAAGATTTTCTCACGAGTTTTGACGTATATCTTTAATCACCGTCCTGCACATAACAACTTCTTCTTAGAATAGGCGTTCTTAGATACCTAAACTGACTGATATGACTCTACAATGATCTAAATGGACTTCTTCCATTATTATATTGTCAATTTTTTAACATCGATCCAGGACCCACAAGTTAAAGCCTACGCATACCATGGCAATTCCTCAACCGTGCTTCACATTGAGCCTTTGAATTACTTTTCATCACCAAAAATGCTTATCATCGGATTGAAAACGGTTGAATTTGGATTCGTCGGACCCGATCAGACGTTTCCAGTCGACCAAGTTCAACTTTTCGTCTAGTTGAAAAGTCTTTACCCTAATTTTTCAGTTTTTTCCTATAATAGAGTAACTTCTGGTAATGTGGACCATGCGTCAAATGTGGACCACCCCCCATATCTAAGAAAATGCTTGAAATATGCCAATGCCGCCTTGATATATGTTTTCCTAATTAGTGAGAACAAACATCAAACTTGGTTTTTAATAAATAATTGCAATGTTGAAAATTTAGTAGGTGAAAATGTAGCTCAGATTGTAAAAGTGTGATTTGAACATTTTTTAGCACAATAGTCGAACGATTTTGTAAAATAGTCGAACATTTTGTTTTTCTCGAATATAAAGAGGTTATGTGGTTTTCTTGTTTTCTTTAACAAAAATACACGTTTATCTGTAATTACTTTCCGTTATTTTTAAATTTTTATTCATTTTTGAAGCCGATAATTATTTTTAAATAAAAATATTCAATGTGGGGTAATGTGGACCACTATAAAAAAAGTGGGACATTTTCATGAGGACGAGTTCGAAACAAGGGCGCATTTAATATGCGAGTAGGTATTCTATCCTCTGAAAACTCGATATCCGAAATTATAGGTGCCTCGGTTGGATAATGAAGCAAAATACCGCAAATGGGGTGATACCCTTAAATGGGGGCTATTCCAAAACATGGGCCCATATATTTTTACATTCATTGTTACCCAAGAGTGCAATAAATTGAAATTTATAACAATTAATCCACAACCTACCTTTAACTGACTGATCCTCATTACCCACACATACTGGTCCACATTACCCGCCAAGTTATTTTTATTTGCAGTTTAGAGTTTTTTGAAATATAATGCAATAACATTTTTATGGACAAATATATATAATTTTTGACCTAGAATATAATTAGCCAACAAATCTACCATGTTGTGAAAACAATTTGTTTTTATTTTTTACCTTTGTTACGCCCACAATATCAAAAAAAGAAAATGGTGGTCCACATTACCCGAAGTTACTCTACAGGTTTTTAGTCTTTTTTTAATGCTGCTATATCCAATGTCGGGAAGGGCTCTTCACGCCGTTCATTGACTAACAGGTTTGACGAGTACTTACGAAGCATATTTTGGTGTTAAAACTTATCAAATTACATTTCCCTTGTCATTAGGCGTGGGCCCACACAGCTTATAAGCGGTGTACGACCTCTAATTTGAGGTTTGGGAACAACGGAACACCGTTTTTGTACCCATATGATCAATAATTGACACAATTTAAGTCCCTTTGCAATTTCCAGGGTAGAACAGATTTTTCAGCTTTTTCCGAATGGCTTCTACATGGTTATTATATATATTTCTTCTTGATTTATTATTATTAGTTATTTATTTGATTTTTTTAGTAAACGGGATTTAAATGATGTAAAACTTATATATTTTCTTAAAAAACTATTGAAAACCAAAAAAAGATTTAAAAAAAGTGATTTTAAATTCCTTTTCTTGGCATTATTAAAAAATGCAGACGTGCAAAAATGAGTACATTGGGGTTGATTTCGTTTTCTTTATTTTTTCTTAGTTATTTTTAAGAGTTAGATTTTTCAATTTAGTTTGTTTTGTTAAGTACAAAATACCCAATAAAATGCAACCAACATTTGAATTAGCTTTTTTAGTTTTATTTTTATGACGTAAAAAGTGTCCAAAATGCAAACATGTACTCGTTTCTGATCGCCACTGTATATTATTTGTATGTATAATTACATATGATAGACATTGCGAATGAACGGGTAATTCACGTCGCCAGTTCCATCGCTCTCGTGTGCACGTTTCATCAGCCATGTGTCGTACGTTCTACCTTAAGTATTCCCTGACAAACATAAACATCGATTTAAATCGCAATGAATTTGTATTCAACTGACAAATATTTCGGACATTTTGCTGAAATAAAAAGTATTTTATATGTAAAATCAATGAATAAATATACTTAATTATTGTGCAACTCATTCCACGTCCATTAATCACTTTTAATCAGTGCTGCCAGTGCTGTGATATCGCTTTTGTTATCGGCTGTTTACCATCTCTGGCGATACAAGTTGCATTTTTCTCAACATTATTTTCTTCGTTCCATTTCGTATTAATCGGATATTTCGTTTTTATTCGCGTGGTATAGGAACAATCGTACAAAACGGCAACATAAGAGCTAATACCGGCACTAAAGAATAGCGAACAATATTATCAGGAAGGGAGCTGTGTGACGACAGACAAGATACAAAGATCAAAGTTCGAGGAGTCTCCACTCAAAAACAAGAGGACATACGGCGTTCGGTCTACCGAAAAGGAGTTGCATATTTTTTTTTTGCTCAACGGACATATATCGTAAATAAATATGACGGCTGATGCAATGGACCAAACAAGTGAGGCATCCCCTCCGGTCTCTATGTTCATGTCAATCGTACAGGAAATATTCTACAGTCCCATGAATCTCGCATTAGTGGCCATCATTGCTTTCTTAGTTTACAAAATAATAAAGGACCGCATAGAAGTACCAAGTGTGGGATCGCAGAAACCTCCCGAACCAGAATTGCCAAAACTGCGTCGTGACTTTACTGTTGCTGAGCTGAGACAGTACGACGGCACTGGTCCAGATGGCAGAGTTCTGATTGCTGTCAATGGAAATGTTTTCGACGTGACCAGAGGCAAACGATTTTACGGACCAGGTAATACAAATGGAATTACATTATGATTACTCACACTCGCATATGTACATGTCGAAGTGTGTGTATTTTATATGAACACAAATGTGCAATTGTTTTTTGTAAAGTTGTGAAGAGAGAAAGAACAGAACATTCGGCAATCTTCTTCTATAATTCGGTTTCCTTATCTTCAAACACTTGGCGTGATAGTATCAGCTTCATCGCCGTTCTCATTTCTCTGTGTTACACACAATGATAACTTGACATTGTCTAGAGTGTAACACGCACTTGAAATTTCTGCCTAGTAATGGTCCGAAATACATTCGGGCGCAACGTACGTACATGTCCGGTGTTGGATCACATCCAATTTTTGATTCCCAATATTGTGTTTTGTTATGGACTCGTTGTCTATGATGGTAATAATCCTGACCTGGGTATGAAAAAATAAATACAAGTTCTATGTGAGCACTGTATACCAAATCAAATTGTTGATATATATTTTTCGACTCTATTGATCATCAGCAAGTTTCGTATAGATAATACGATTTGTAATGCAAATGACTTTACATTTATATGTGATTTGTAATGCAAATGGCTTAAGACGTTTTTGAAGACTTTCATTACATATCACGCAATTCTGATATGTATAACATTGGATTTTATACAAAGGATGTCATTGATAGTCTGGGGGCAATATATTTTCCCAAAAAGTATACCATTTGCAATACTTCACATATAATTGAATATGAAAATATGTATCTGCATATGTATTACCTAGGGTTCAGCATGAGTCTTGAACATATGCACTCAATTCAATTCTCTTGTCCAGTGAACGGAGCGTAACATTGCTCACTCCAATCGGTTATATTCAAATGTGCTGCCTTCCTTTAATATTCTATTCTACTATTCAAGTTAATTTTTGCAAGCGATGTCGGACAGTTTGTGTCGTTATTTTTACTCCATAATTTTTCTACATCTGTGCTCTACAACGTGCCAACTTTATTTAGATTTACGGCTCATTTCAAATTTGATAACCATATATATTTAAAACTTTAGCCCATTTGATCCAATCGTGATAAATGTTCAAACAAGTTCTGCCAGGAGTTAATGCACAACAAGACCAAAATGACCACCTCTTTTGGTCCTGTACCTTGAGTGCATGGTGGTACTCAAGGTGCCACCATGTCTCCGCACAATACGGCACACATATTCGCCTGTCCAAAAAACCTTACAGATTTACGCCCAGAGGACTTTTGGACTAGACCAGTGGAAGTGCCACAACTACCAACCGATTCTATCCTCACATAAATTAAATATATAATATTTAATTATGAATGGTCATGTTTTTTTTTAATTTCTTAAAAAACACTTCAGTCGTCAACTAAAATTATGACGAAGAAATCTTCATCATACTTTGTTACCGCCGTTCCGCCATATATATCAATACATTCATCAAAATATGAACAGTAAACATTTAATTATGACAAAACCTGGGGAACAAACAATTCCAACAATCACATTTAAATAGTAAATGTATTCTAATTTACTTGTGTACTTCTCTTTTAGGCGGTCCTTATGCATCATTTGCAGGTCGGGATGCCTCTCGCAATCTTGCTACGTTTAGTGTAGCTACAAATGATAAGGATGAATACGATGATTTGAGTGATCTAACAGCTATGGAGATGGATTCCGTACTGGAATGGGAGATGCAATTTAAGGGTTAGTCGCTGATATATTAATTAAGGAGAATCTGAAATATAGACTTTTCCTTTTTATTCATATAGAAAAGTATGATCTTGTTGGAAAGTTGCTGCGTAAAGGAGAGCAGCCAACCAATTACGAAGATGAAGAAGAGGACACGGATAAGGATTCTAAAGCTAACGATGTTGCTGCAGCCTCGAATGAGAGTAAGGATAACGCTACACCCGTAGCAGGCGACGAAACAATTAGAAAACGCAACACTACCTCAACTACAGAGGAAGTAAAATAAACGTTGTATATTGCATTGACTGCATATAGATTTATTTAGTTAAGTTTTCCGTCGTAGTTTTTTAACCTTTACAGTCAATATCTCCAAATTCTCTGTTGCTTTATTGTATCAATCATTACATTCGTTTCCAAATTGACACTGATCACTATTTAAACTTTTTGGATGTGGCTTAAATAAAAAAATAATATATTTTCAACATAATTTAAAATAGTAAAATTAATCTGTGGATCGAATTAATTTGTCCTGCAACAAGGGATGTATGTGTCCTATTCTAATATTACATGGTGGAAGACATAAATATACACACATATATTTTTTAAATAGTAGCCTAGTAATAAATTCCCTTACAGGGATTAAGAAATTAGTTTGTTTTTTAATCGTACGATATTCTGGAGATGGATACCAACAACAATGTTACGTGCATTTGTCGCAAAGCGTACTACACATAATAGTGGTAAAAGTATGCATTTGTCTTCAAATACCTTGTTAACCACAAAGTCGTGCACCAACGAACTTCTCAGTGAGGTGGTATAGCTGGAACGCAAGTATTTCGATTTGTTACAATAAACATTTGGGTATTTGGGTTTGGGTTTTTTTTTTTTTTTTGTAAAGAACCTATAAATAGCTTCTGGGGAGAATATCCCTAACAAAAAAACTAAGGGAACTGATGTGGATCGCCACTGATACGAAAATATACAGCCTTATTTTGGATATTCGCTAACGAGATTTCTCGCATGTGAAAAATGTTTCGCTTTCACATTCTCGGATTATTCTGAATGTATGGGGGAAGCAAATGCGGATTCGAATAATGTGAGTTGCCATATTGTAATTTATTTTAATCGCAAAGAAAATGCCCACAAGACATTAGCAATGTATGCTCTTTTTAGAAGAAAATGTATTTATCTTGTCAAATGGTAAAATCTTTCAATACAAAATAATTTACAGATTAATTTATGCTTTTAATTCATTTATTTTTATACATTTCTTGTAGTTCGATCTTTTTTCAATATGAATACTTCTAAAAAGGTAAAATTACAATAAAATCAACTGAATTCAATTGGTCTGTTCTTGTACTGCAAGAATCTACTAAGCATGGCATAATGATAGAAGGTATTCTCTGGAATTCATATATAAAAAATATACCAATACAGCTTTAGATGCATAAAATAATGAAGAACAAATAGAATGGGATTCATGTTCAATAATCGATTTTTGCCAAAAATGTATCTGGAAAATTTGCCCTGATGCGTTCTCTAGATGTCCGAAGCCGTGGAAGCTTGGTGACATTTTGTGGTACGAAACAATTCAACATTAAGGGGACCTCCCCCATTCTCAATTTTAAATTTTCAAGGTGTTCATTGGGCTGGTATATGAATACCAATGTTGAGGTTTGTAACTTGACACATGTATAATTGAAGATTTAAATAGAAGAAATATAATTTGCTAAATTTGGTAGTTGTTGCTTTGTTGTTGTTTTTGGTGATTAAATAAAAAACCTTATTTTTGATGGCGGGCATGATAACTCTTCACTGGAACATCGGAATCCGGAAATTACAAGGGTGTTAGGTTAGGGATATGCGGTTGTAAATAACAACCGTACAACAAAAGAATGTGCTGTTTGTGAGGGATTGAGGTCAACCATGACATAGCCTCTTCCCATGGCAAGAACTTGACAGCTAAGCCTGAATAAACTTGTTGAGGCGCCCAGGTATCAAGGCTCTATTCTAATACAGTCGGAACCCTGACTGCAAACCATAGATTTGAATTAAATCAAAAAACTAAATTACATTTTTTGACACCGAGAAAGGGGGGTCCCCTTATTAGGGGTTTGGATATATTTTATATAAAGTTTGTAATACATTGGAATTTATCCAATGTATTTCTTCCGTAACTTAATGTTTGGTTGATTTTTAATTAAATTTGGTAAAGAACAGTCATATATTAACAACATATGTCAAAATGGTTGTCAACGTGAATCAAATAAAAAAATTGTAATCAGCTTTAAGCATGAGTATAATATGTATAATTATGCCACGGAATAAAACTTGATCGAGACAAAGTCTTTTGAAAGTCTAATAGTTGATGTTGAAAGATTTTTCTTTGTACATACCATGGTATAATTATTATTATTGTACCATGGTACAAGTTAATAAAAAGACTTGTGTGCCTTTTGGTGAGTTAGAATGAACTAACTTCTTTATTCAAATCAAAAACTTATTCTACTTAAACTAAACAAATCAAAATTGCTGACAATACGCTGACACTACACTTCCCATGATCACGCCACCAGACGTAACACGACTCCATGCTAAGCACACAACAGTCAACCAAGCAAAGCTCACAAAGGCAACATTGTTGCCTGTTAGTTTGGCAGGGATGTGCTAACTACCCCCTCACTTAAGTGAAGGCCGTCCTCGGTCTTCTTTATAGCCATTGCTACGGCAGATTTAAAATCTCGCTGTTCTCTCTTCTTCACCCTACGCTTAATGAGGCACAATATGGAATAGAGTAATCCGATACTCATAAAAACAACACAACCAACTAATATTGGCCGCACTTTTGCATCTCTTTCAAGTTCGCCAATATATTGTAAGTTTTGCAAGTTCATCTCATGGACAGATGATAAACTTAAAATTTCGCTGTGGTTGTTTATAATAATTGAGGGAAATGATGGTGTTCCTGGTTTCCGCATATCAATGTTGTTTCTATTTACGAACAGCGTACCATTGACAGTCACATTTTTTTCAAAAGTTATTAGGAATGTGCCGTTTATGTTTCTGACATTTTCGGTTGCTTCTTTCACTTCTGCAATAGCGTCATTCACAATGACAATTCCATCATCGATTTCTGCCACTTTTTCAAGATTATTGCTTTGCGTATTACAGTGTGCTGATTTACCCGATATGAGTTGTTGAGCGCAGGTTGACTCTGGCATCAGTTGACAATAGGTTGAAGATATTGCGTGCTTGCAATCTGTTGCTGAATAAGTCTTTCCTTCACAGTCTACCACAGTGTTGGTGTCAGCGAATTGAATAATTTTATTGAAGTGGGGAACTGGGAATAAAGAAATTTTCTGACATGTTCGTATTGGAATGGGATATCTAATGATAAAATGCAAACAAAATTCATTTGATATTACTTTTACTTTAGACAAATACATTAGTTCTGATATGGTAAAATCTGTGTATTGCTCATTGATCTGATTTTTTATAAAAAATTTTAAATCATCCTGGTCCAAAACTGTGGGATTTATAATATTGATTTTAGCCAAAGTTACAGATAAAATTATATTTTGTAATTCCATAAGCAGCATTCTGTTTCTAGCCATTAAAATTTCAAAAAGTTTAACAGTATCAATTTGTTCCTTTCGTTCGGTATTTAAGATTGTGTTTACTGCATTGGTCAACTTTTCTATTTGGATCTGTATTTTCGTATTTATTTCTATTTGTCTGTTGTTGGAATCTACGAGTTGTTTCTCGACAAATTTGACATCATCCCAGTCATCGGCATCTGGTGTACCGGCAATAACCTTCAGTGCTGTGCCTATAAGATTGATGCTTCTCGCATGCCGATGATGTACGGTGAGTGTTGTTAAAAGAGTATCAATATGCAATACATCGGCCTCCAATATCTTTTTAACATGCGTCTGAGGGAAGATCTGTATTGCGTTTTTTGTATCGTCTAATATCTCGGAATACGTTGTAAGGTTTGTCGTATGTCTTAAGTACCCATATTTGTTCCATATAATCGCGTTCCCGTCCAAAATTGGTATATTATCGGAATGCGAATAATCAATAATCTTTGCAAATGTGAGGTTTATCATAAGAAGCAATTGTAGTGTTAGCCTGCGTAAAGAAAAATAAAAGGTAGACGAAGAAACATTTAGACATCTTATTGAAAGGATTATCTTAGGTTGTCCTTATGGACCACCCTCCCCTTTATTAGGACAGTTGTCCCCATGTCTGCTTCAACAGTAGCTTCTTCATAAAGTGGGGTCATTTTATTTCCAAGTCTACGATTATTCTTAACAAAGACTTTGTCTCCCACGTTATAAACTTTGTCATAACGACTTTTGTTGAAGTATTGTAACTGCCTGTTTTGCGCGTTACAGATTCGCTCTTTAATCTTTTCTCTTACTTCAGAAGGTGTAGAATGTATCGTATCAATAGGTCTCTCATTCGTGACAGAATGAATTGTCCGGTTATATTCTATGGTCGATTGTAAGATGAGTTCGACAGTGTCATCGATCTTCCTTTCTATTTTTAGGCATCTTGCGATTTCGGCAAGAGTGCTGTGAAATCTCTCTACCTGCCCGTTTGATGTGCTGTGTAGAGGAGGTGAATTGACAATTTCGACATTAAACCTGTTTTTCAGAATTGATCTGATAGTCTCGGAGTTAAAAGACCTCTCATTGTCACAATAGACAATTTTGGTGTTTGGAAAAATATTCATTAATTGGAGAATCGGTTCTCTTATGTCCAGAATTGTTCTGGTGGCTATTGGCTGTACCACTGCGAATTTTGAGAATTTATCCACGCAAGTTAAGAAATGTTTTTTATCAGTTGAATAAATGTCAATATGTAGAATTTCACCGGCATATGAAGGAACTATTGTCTCTCCTATAACATGTTTCTCTGGGTGTCGATTGTATTTAGCTTTTGAACAGGTTTTGCAGTTTGCAACAACCTCATTCGCTATTTTTACCATTTTGGGGAAATAGTATTCCGAAAGGATTTGTTTTACGTTCTCTTGAGCTGCCCGATGAGCTCTATTGTGTTCACTTACAACAATTTCTCTCTGATCGCATTGATTGAAGATGTCAGCGACAAATTTACTACAAAATCTGAACTTTGTTGAAGGAAACATTTTAATCAAATCATGTTGAATGTGAGCCAACACAGGTAGGTCGCAATGAATGGCATTTACTACTTCAGTATTGACTGCATCAACAAGTTTAGCCAGTATTTCGTTTTTATCCCCGAATTCTATGATATGTCTCGTTTTGTTTCCGAAAAGTATAAAATTTCGAGTGGCGGGAAATTCTGCCTCTTCCAGAATGATTTGGTTGCGGAAACAATTGACCGGTTTGTCTGAGCTTTCCATAGTGTAGGTGTATGACTCCTCACTATGAGCTGTTGCCATGTCTGACGAATTTTCGTTCTCTAATGCATAGACGACTTGCCTTGATAGCGCATCTGCAACTTGATTTTCTTTTCCTGGTTTATAATATAAGCGCTTAATTTGTGCATTAGGATTACGGTCCGAAACTGAATATGTTAACGGTTGGTGGTCAGTGAAGATGTTAAGAGTCTTCACACCATAAAGGTAATGCCTTAGAGTTTTTAGAGCCCAGACTATTCCTAGAAGTTCCCTTTCGTTTGTGGCGAGATTCAACTCCTTATCCGATAACGCTCTAGAAATCATAGTGATTGGTCTTCCCTCTTGGGATAGAACAGCACCTAGACCATGCCCTGATGCATCAGTAGTAAGGTCGAATGCTTTTTTATAGTCAGGGTACATCAACAAGACGTCTTCTGAACATAGAATATTTTTTAATTTGTAAAATGCATCCAGTTGGGAGGCATTAAGATTGATGATAACCTTTTTGGATTTGGTTGCAGGAATTTTTCCGTTTTCTCCTTTTAAATTATCGGTTAAAGGTTTTGCAATTTTGGCAAAGTCCCTTATAAAACATCGGTAATAGTTCGCTAGCCCAAGAAATGATCTCAAAGCGAACAACGTCGTTGGTTCTGGGAAATTTTGTATGGCACTTATCTTTGATGGTGCCGTTTTTATACCTTCTTTTGATACGACAAAGCCAAGGTATTCAACTTCGGATTTAAAAAAAATTTGACTTTTCAATAGAGACTCTCATGTTTGCATCGAGCAGTTTCCTAAGAACACAGTCGATATGTTTTACATGATTCTCTTTGATACGACAAAGCCAAGGTATTCAACTTCGGATTTAAAAAAATTTGACTTTTCAATAGAGACTCTCATGTTTGCATCGAGCAGTTTCCTAAGAACACAGTCGATATGTTTTACATGATTCTCTTTGGTTTCTGAAAAAACAACTTTTTTATTTCTGAGTTTACAAATTCAGATACCCCCATTGGGTATGGATATAGTTTAGAGTAAATTGGTTCTTCGTTCTCCATGTTAATAGTAGCAACGATATTTGTGTTGTAAGGTAGTTTCTTTAGGATCAGCAAAAACCTTCATTCGTTTTTTTAACATTTTCTGAAAATCCGCCTTAACTGCGAAAGGCACATCAATCTTATCAATTTCTATAAAATTAACATCTTTACATTCAAAAAATTCAATAAGTTCAGAGCCAGAATTATGTCGGATGACTCCTTTATTTAGGTCAATGTTTGCATTGATTTGTTTTAATAGGTCTAAGCCCACAATAGCGTCAAATGTTGTTAAAGTTGGCAAAATGAAAAATGTAGAGTTCATGCCGAATAAATTTACAAAACATTTTTTGTTTAATAGGTGTTTGTCCATTGACAGAGTGAACCGAGAAAGGAGTACTTACAGGAATTATATGTTGAAAGGATTAATAATTTCCTCATTTTAGTCTCGGCGGAAATAAAATAAACATATTTCAGCTAACAAACACGGATAAAATTAAACAAAGAAAAATCTCCAACTAATTAAAAATTAAACAAAAAATACAAATAAAAAATAAAACAAACTGCCTAAAAGAAAAGCAAAAAAGAAGTCATTTGTCATGTCAAAGTGGTAGAAGGGAGAGGCAGTTGGAAAAAAGTTTAATAGTTGTGCAAGAATTTACAAAGAAACAAACCAACAACAACGAAATGGAAGTGTTTCTCCTATGGAAATGGACGACAATTTTCTTGATAGATCGTCGACTTTTTTGTCGACTTCTGATTTATGTGTCTGAATCGCTGCACGTACAGCGGATTCTATCAATTTTGAAATTTCGTCCGCGTTCATAATATCTTTTTTTATAGAAAAGTTGGTATAACACAATCTTAATCACTTCACAGAAATTGAAATATTTTAAATACGCACTATACGAAGTAAAAAAAAAAAAAAAAATCTCTTGATATTTTCACCTGTTTTTGGACACACAATTTTTTCGACAAAAATTTTTTAAATTCAATGAGTAATACACTTACATGACTTTGTTTTATATTATAATATGTTAGTGGATCCTTAGAGCTTCTTAGGGCGTCTTTTCTAGAGTGTAGAGCTTATCCCTTTTGCGTTAGTTGGACGACTTCATACAAAATAGATCCTCCGTTGGGTAGTTTTCGTTCTGGTTTTTGTGTAGACCTTATTCCTTTTGTGCGAGTTGGACGACTTGGGTAGTTTTTGTTCTTGTTTTTGTGCTGAGCTTATTCCTTTTGTGCGAGTTGGACGACTTGGGTAGTTTTCGTTCTTGTTTTTGTGTTTGGGTTGGGTCAGAGATTACTTTTTTCAAAGTAAATCCTTTAAATAAACCCGGTTGGGCGCCAGTTAATAAAAAGACTTGTGTGCCTTTTGGTGAGTTAGAATGAACTAACTTCTTTATTCAAATCAAAAACTTATTCTACTTAAACTAAACAAATCAAAATTGCTGACAATACGCTGACACTACACTTCCCATGATCACGCCACCAGACGTAACACGACTCCATGCTAAGCACACAACAGTCAACCAAGCAAAGCTCACAAAGGCAACATTGTTGCCTGTTAGTTTGGCAGGGATGTGCTAACTTACATACTAGGTTTATTTTTCTAAGCCCAAATTGTTCAAAAAAAATTCTTGAGAGAACAATGACTTTTGTACATTGTTAAACTCGAATCTCTCTCTAAACAACAAAGAAATTGGTCCCATCACTAAAAATGGAGAAAATTTATAAAAAAAAATTAATTAACAGCTGTCTCATAGTAAGAGTAAGATAAAAATCATTGTGGGGATCATAACAGGAAACTGCAGGACCTCTCACTTTCAAATGGGACATAAACTAATTGCCAGAAAATTTCCGGTAAGTCCAATTTTTCCACTTCTATTTCCCTTGTCCCTCTCTTCGACAAGCAAAGACTTGCCTTAAACAAATGTTATGCGATTTAATTGCTTTCTTAAACTGGCACCACTTACATATGATTGTCAAAATTGACGTTTGATTTTTGTGTTGAGGCAGAGTTACATAAAGAGGTTTGGCGAAATTATAAAATATTTTGCTAATATAATTAAGAATTTTGCAAAACTTTATTTTTGTTTGTTTATAGAAAAATGCTGCGCTCCGCTGCATCGATTTTGGCAAACAATGCACCAAAGTTGCTGGCTGCACGACTTCCATCCGGTATGTCAGCCGGAGCTTTTGGACCAGCAACAAACACACTAATGGTGCGTCAACAACAAACGATGCCCGTCGTGGACTCAAACAATCCCTTGCCGAAGAAAGGCTACAGTCCATTCGGAACAAAACAATCCAGCATGGCCGAATGGTCTTTGGCTCGATTGGATGATTTACTAAATTGGGGACGAAAAGGTTCTATTTGGCCATTAACATTTGGCTTGGCATGCTGCGCTGTCGAAATGATGCACATCGCTGCACCTCGTTACGATATGGATCGCTACGGCGTTGTCTTCAGAGCTTCTCCTCGCCAGGCGGATGTTATTATTGTAGCTGGCACATTGACCAACAAAATGGCCCCAGCTTTGCGCAAAGTTTACGATCAAATGCCTGAACCTCGTTGGGTAATTTCGATGGGAAGCTGTGCGAACGGTGGTGGTTACTACCATTATTCCTACTCTGTAGTGCGAGGATGCGACCGCATCATACCCGTTGACATCTATGTCCCCGGATGTCCACCAACAGCCGAAGCCTTAATGTATGGAGTTTTGCAGTTGCAAAAGAAGGTGAAGCGTATGAAAACATTGCAGATGTGGTACAGAAAGTAATGTGTAATATAGAGAAGGAAATGGCGGTTACGTAGGAGCAACACATCTAGTGAAAAATCTAATATTAATTGAAGTTTCGAAATGTTATACGAATAAATAAACATATGTAATATATGAATATGCTGTATTAGTTGGTGGTTCCCCCACACACCCATTCATAATTTCTGGGTATATTCTAATGTTGAAAGTAAATGGGACTCGGAATCCTGGTTTTGAGCAAATATATACTAGAAATGGAACATGTCTAGTTTAGGGCCCCTCGCGGGTCGCTTTGAAACTTTTACCATATGTAGTCCTTGGGGCCCTGATTACAATGGTATCCTTTTTTCTTGCGGAAATCGATATTTCCGGAGATATGGGCCTCCAAAGTTCCGTTGGGGCCCTTGTATTTTCTCATGATTTTTTAAATTTACTAAGGTAATGTGGGTATCAATTTAAAGCGTTTTAAGCCCTGATTAAAAAAATATAATTTTCTTATCGAATAAGTTCACACATTCTGAGATATGGGTCTCCAAAAATCCGCGGAACCCTTCTTTAATTTTGAAAAACAGTATGGGTGTTTGTGGGTAGCCGGCCTTCGCCAGCAAATCTTCAACAGTTCATTTAAATATGTTTATATTGTCCATTTCGTTGATGGGCTCCAACTCAAATTATGAGCACAATTGTTTATCTTGTTTTCATTAGGAAAGCAACAAATCAACTTTTTCGCAGTTGGTTCACACATTTCAAAAAAGTCATGTTTTCCTTTCTCTTGAGTTGATCCGATTAAGTTGTCATTCTATGAGTCAAATTGGCTCACAACCATAAATAGATGTACAAATCAGCGTGACCGTTTTGCCACTAAAGTAGCAATTTTGATACTTTTTTTCGGCCTTGCCACTCTACAATGACTTTTCATGGGATACAGGCTTGGGATGAGAATAATGTGGATTTTGTTAAAATCCTCATATACATATATTGAAATATTTGAACAAAACACATAGCTTTTGTCGGATTTTAAAATTTGTAAGTACCGTCCATATATAGATTCCATGTCAATATGTAGCAAAATAGTGTGCCACCTTTTCAAAAGACTTGTGCCACTTTTTTTCAAAAATGATACTTTCTGTGATACTTTTCGAAAATTTTCAGCGGTCACGCTGGTACAAATTGGAAAATGCGAAAAGAGGAAGTCTGTGGGAAGAGGAATAAACGTATACAAATATTCCATTACTTAACTAGAAAAATTGATATTAAGGTGTACTTGTCGTCGGCTCATTCAAAGATTTGAATAATTTAAATTGTAATTAGGTTTAATAGGTTATATCGCATAAAAATGGTTTGTTTAGACAAATTAACATCTGAACATACTACCAACAACTTCAATACATTGGGTCAAAGGTGTGAGTTGTGGCAAAATTCACTGCTATAATCTAATACATACATAATTAATGAAGAGTCTCCCAGTTACAATTCACAAATGAATGAACGTTTGATTTTATTATATTTTTGACATCGTACGGGTAAATAAGCTGATAAAGAATGTTTTAATTTAAAAAAATGTCCGCGTTTATAACATCTTTTATATAATTTAATTCAGAATATTTAAAAAAATGTTTTAGAGTCCACACTATCAAACAAGTAAGATGAGATAAATATAGGAATTGAAAATTTTCAGGATATTTTAAGCGGTCATACCAAATTGAAAGAAATCCCTCCTTCCTGTTTAGATTACAAACTGACGAATTCTCACGGCTCACCAAAAATTTGTACATTCGAAAACATACAGCCATATTCACCGTGAATTTGTTCGCTCTTTCCTTTATAGTTATTCGGAACCAGAATCGTCATAGAATAAGCCTTGCGTAGATATTTTCCATAAAAATATTTAATACTAATATTTTTATAGTCAGCTCCCATTAAATTTTTCGCCACTCTCTGTAATCCAGAATAACTAACTTTTCCAGAATAACGGGAGAATGAAAATGCGAAAAAATTCGCTGCGAGTTCTGATTCAGAATAGGAAAGATCGAAAAAATTCACGGAGAATTGATGTCCAGAACAAGGCTGTATTTGTATAGCTTCCGATATAAGCCTTTTGTGCGATCTAGAATGGAAAGCAAGTTAGAAGAAATCTCCCTAATCTACAAGGGTTTATGTGTACTTAGGGAAGTCCTACAGTCTTTTCCATTCTCATTCTCTTAGGTCGGTTAGTTCGTGAATAGTAGCATTCCCCAGGGCATAGGGAAGGTTCCAACATTGCGTTGTCTTCCCTACATCCCTCTACATCTGTTGTATCCCTCACAATCAATTCCTATGCGCGTTGCTCTAAAAGGGTTGGCGTTCTTCACATCTGTGCTGGATAGGTCAGTAGATTTGCATTCTCATTGGCTTTTATTCATGTATGACTCGGTACACACATGGTTTCTACAAGGCCGTAACGCGAGAAATTCATGATATGGATATCACTTTGGTATGGCATATAGCCTTTCTTTCTTTGTCTTTCTGACCCTTCACAACACTGAATACTCTTAAAAAGAAAAACTAATTTCGTTTTTTTTTTTTTTGGTATTTTTATAAATTATTTTTGTAGTCCATGCGCTGACTGGTATTTGTAATTAATATATATATATTTTTTTAATTTAATTAAAATCACAATTAAAGAAATAAAAACGGATACAGATAAATACACAAGAATACAACATCATAATTAGGTTTTGTTTCTTATCTTATGTCACAGTACAAAATGCGTTAACAACTAATCTCTTAATTTTACATTTTACTATCAATATAGTATATAATGTTGTTATTTCTGTTATCGGCTGCCGATGGTGAAGTACAAATATAATTGTTGCATACTGAAGAGTCGAGACGACGCGAAATGTTCGTTGACTTTACTCTCATATTCCTTTGCAAATGCAAATGGGTGGATAATATCTCCAGGAGCAATAGCAATTGGCGCAGCAAATTATCGGCCATCCAATGTTTGTCCATCCAATCAATCAATTGACCGAAAAGTCTCCTCAGTTTTTGGTATTTTTAGAACATTGCAATTTTCAGATTCACTTCGTTTTAATTTTTGCATTTGTTGGTTGGTTTGTTTGTATAGTTTTGTTGTTGTTTTAAAAACGTTTATTTTTGAGAGTTTTGCTTTTGTTTCATTATGTTCATATAAATCTATAACTAAATAATCGTTTATCATATCGGTATTTTTGCAGTTTATATAATTAATATATTATACTAAAATAGAAAAGTTTTCATTTAATTACATATTGAGTTTTAACTAGTCGCCAGGATGCTCTGGGCAGGACCGATTAACTTCAAACCACCGATCAATACAACTATAAAGGAGATAACCGTTAATCGAAAATTCTGACCATCAATAGCAAATTATTATGACTTACCATTTATGATAAATACAAAGACATGGCAAGCGCGCTATTATATCACCAGGATTTAAATCTTCTAAGCAAATTACACATTCACCCTTGGCATCCGCTAAGACATCCTCTGAAATAATATTCAATTATGTTAAGTTTATTGGGAATTATTAGCATGGCAATGACAAAATATTTATGATAATGGTAAATTGTAACATACCGTTGTAGGAGAGTCGTGGTTTCGTCAGGCACATTACCAAGTGGCATTCAATATCATCGGGTAAAACAAATTTGTTGCATACCGGACATTTAATACCTGAAAATGTAGTCCAATATTAGTGTAAAATTGTACAGAAAAACATGGTCAATAAAATTTTATTTTAATTTAATTTATTTCATATTTTGGTAACTAAGCTAATATAGCCGTATATGTTACAAAAACCACTTAACCTAAACTACACTTGCACTTATATTAAATCTTAGAAATAGAATTACAAAATTGGAGTAATTATTAAGAAATAAACAATTTATACAAAAAAATAAGATTTTTTAAGTTCAAAAAATATATATACAGTGGTGGTCACGTAATTAAAACATTTACTGTGGTAAACATTTTTTGGTCAGCCCTGGGTTTTCTTGTCAACATAGGTGTTGATCTCTGTTCGTTCATCAGTTAGTGCATATATAAATTTTCTTCCTGAAGTAACACAAAGACGTATTAAACAACTTAAGAGATGGTGGCAAACTATTAAAAACCCTCGCTACTCTTACAAAACAATTTGACAATTCCAACTTATAAATCTTATAAAAACATAAGAGACTTCGAATATTAATTTTAATTTATTTTAGAGTGAACTTAAACTTATACTTCGCTATTAACTTGTGGTTTTCCAAATAATTTATAAAGTACTAGTGATGTTCAAAAATGCTGGCAAATTGACAATATATACATAATACATATTGCAACATCTTACAACACCACAACAACAAAATGCATGGAAGTTTTGTTTGCCACAAGGTTGAAAAAATACATCACAACATTTTTTTTTTGTAAACTACGCACAGTCCAAAGTAATTAAATACTATTCTTTTTCATATGTGACTTAAAATTCAATAAAATAAACAATATTTATGTGAATTCAATATAAAAAAATTAAGATTGTTAACCGAATATTGCTGTAATTATTTTTTTCGAATTTCGGGACGAAGCTTTCACCGTCTCTAGATTGTGGGTCACTGAATCCAAAAATTTTATTTGTATCCCTTTTATTATAAGGATAATCGACAGGATCAATTTTTGGGCTGTTCACACTAGCACTGCTCGGGTACAGGTTTTTTATATGGTTTATGGATCATCTTATGAGTGTGACCATATGGTCACGCTAGCACAGCTCGGGTTAAACAAAACAATTGCAATCTCGCAGTGAAAAGTATCCGAGACAAACGGATTTTTTGGATGGTTTATATTTATATATATATATATATTATATATATACCTTGTTATCTTTTACAGCTTTAAACCTTTCCCACACAGATTTTACCAAGTTTTCCATGTAAGTAAACGCTTTTCAGACCTAGTTGGCTTGAGATGTTATGAATTCTAATATTTTTCTCCAAAATACTACATTAATAAGAAAAAAATAAAAGATTTCCAAAATGCAAAATCCTTGCATGCTTACGGCTTTCGGCTTGTTTCAAATTCTATTATCGGTTTTATGCCTCAATATAAATAGCAAAATGCAACATTAAATATTAAATAAATCAAACACAGTTACATTTTTTACAACCGTAATACTTTTTGTAGTACTTTAAGATTACTATCAGTGGTAAAAAAGTGAGCCCTCGGTGGTCACTCACTCGACTTCAAATATTCATGACTTTAGACATCATTGCTAATACTGGGAAAACTCTGTGAATTTTGTGAACATTTTTAACTTTAAATATTCTTTACATGAATAAGAAATGTCATGGTCGCTCAGGCGACATTTTTTATTTCCGCAGTGTCTGCATTTATAGTCTTTAAATTAGTATTTATGCTAAGAACAAAAATAATAAAAGTTTTTCATTGCAGTCCTGAAAGCTCTTACAGGTACCTCCTGGGGAAGGATAAAGAGACGCTCATCATGACGTACAAAGCAATTAGCCACTCTGTACTGAGCTATGCCGCTCCCGTTTGGACTTAATTTCTAAGTGACACCCAATAGCGCAACCTTCAAACGATCCAAAACAGTGCTCTAAGGATTGCTACCAGATGTGTCAAGATGTCGAGCGTGGATCATCTTCATGAGGAGACAAGGATACTGTCAGTGTAGCAACATAATGTTTTGCTTTCCAGAAAGTTCCTTCTGGCCTGTCATCTCCAAGTCACCCCAACCATCATCATAGTGGTGCAGGATCCTCCCCCACGACACATCCGGGCATAAGAAAATATCTTAAAATTACGCCGTCGTTACATTGACCCAAAAAGTTGATATATATATAATCTAATTAATAAAATATGCATATGAATATATTATAATAATCGCAAAAAAGTTGCACAATTTCGCGAAATATGAGAAAAATAATAAAAATATAGGAAATTACGTCATTATTTTCATTATATTAATGATATGTTTGTATCTCCCTAAATATTAATTAAAAATATCTATAAAATGAAAACACCACGATAAGTCAAATGATATCAAAATCACACAAGTCTATGTATCGATTTGTAAATTACAGCGACAACAAAAGAAGATATTGAGGAAAATTAAGAGACGTGCTCCTCATTTCGCTGAGCACGAAGGCCGCGAAATGAGTGGCTTAGTCACAAATCGAGAAAAAACTTAAAAAACCTGGGTTGCCTCAGCCTGTTTTTACAAAGTTTTAAATTGAAGTAGACACAGCTTCCACGAAAATAAACTATGGAGGTCAATATAATGAACATTTTACAACGACAGATCAATAAATCCAAAACTATTATATTTTTCTTATGTACTTTAATAATTCCGGAGTTATTAAGTGGCGAACCTCAGCTTCAGCTATGTTAAAAATTGGCAATATTGTCCATATATCGAGGCCTCCGAACCATAGTATGCTAAGTCGACTTAGCATGGTTTAAAGTTCTTTACGTTTTTAGATACTACGGTCCTTAATTTACATTCACAGAAATTTTGGTAATCATCGGCCAATCCAAACCAAAGTTATAAGCAAAAATGTACTTAGCATGGCACGTACGATTAAAGAAACTTCCATACTTTGAAAGCTTCTACTGAAAAACTCACTTTTCAGACTTAGCATACTATGGTTCGAAGGCGTCGATATAGATTCCAAATAAAATACAAACAATTAATATATGAGATCAGAAATTTTAAACATTTGTCTCAGTTTTTATCACTATTATGATAAAAATAACTATACGCTCTGGTCTTAAGCATCAATAATCTGGTAACTCTATACTGTGGTAGAAATGGGAAAAATCGGCTCTTGATATAAACTTAATAAATAAATGGTTTTAGTGCGAATTTTATCTCTTAAAATATATAAAGTGATTTATTAAAACATTCTGAATCTGAATTTTATGAATGTCAATCTTGAAAATACACGATACATACAAAAAAGCGCGTAAACAGATATATGCTATTATGTTAACTTGTTGTTCTGTTTATTATCGTTTCATCTTTCATGGGCAAAGTTCATCGTTTTAATTTTGGCGCGGTTGGCATTAACTTTACAACAACAAAAACGATCTAACGCAAACAAGAAAACAATAAGAACATCATATTTAACCAAGGAGAGAAAACTTAAGTTTATTTTATAAAATATAACAGAAAGTGGAAATAGATAAAGAGAAAAAGTCATCACACTAATAAACCGTTGTGCTAGATTGTTGCTACATCCATCAAAACCCAAACTCACATACACTAAAAGAAAAAAAAGAGTGAATAAAGTTTTAACAACACTAAAAACAAATTGTTCGAGAAAGAGCAAACTACAAATTCCAAGAAAGATCATCTGTCAATTCCACCATTACTATTGTAGCTGAAACAGCAAAACTTTTTTAAGTTGAATTATCCTTGTGGAATATGTAACTCAAATACATCTGGCACTAGATGCATATTATGCAGTAAATGTGATATATGGTTTCATGGAGATTGAGAGAACATTTCTAAGACCTTATTTAGTATGCTGGCTAAAAATCAAAACTTTGCATATACATGTACAAACTGTGTTGAAAATCCCACGAATGATACTGAGGATACATTTAAAGCGGAGATGAGAGAGCAGTTTGCTACGCTAAGAGACTCATTTCGTTTACTTGCCAGTGATATGAAAAAAGATCAAACTGAAATCAAAAAAAAAAAAAAAAAAACTTTTGAGAATGTTGTGGCTGAAATTCGAAATGATTTATCAAATGGGTTGCAGGAGATAAAGGTTAATGTTCAAGAGCGCAGGGATATTGTTGGTTCCCATGATGTCTCTTATAAAAATAAATTTTTGGAACTTGAGCTCCAGAATCATTGTCTTCAACACAGAGATTACAGAGCGGATGTTACTGTTGCTGGCCTTCCGGAGAATCTTGAGAAGTTAAATGATATTGCTGTTTATATATGTGGCCTTCTCAAAGTTGATATTACTTCGGAGCTCATTGATAGCGTCATATATATAAGAAAAAAACGTTCAATTCTTATTAAATTTAAAAATGTTGGCAAACGAGATGACTAACAAAGTTTGGAAAGTTTGTTTGAAACTAAAAAAAGAAAATAAAATCATTTCATTTAATCTTATTAATCGAGAAATACTTAAAGTTAAATTTATCATGCCTAACAATGTTTCCAAAATTCTGAATTTTCAAGAATGTGTCGATTTCTTCAAAAGCAATCAATGTAATTTTCAAAATTTTTAATATTTTTCTATTAATCATTATCCATTATGGAGTTATTGATAGCTATATTTTCTTTTTTCTTACAACCATAAATTAATTAAATTTCATATTGAAAATGTTATTTAAAATATTTAATATGTTATACATAATTTTTGTTATTCGGTTTCCCCAAATATATGAATATTACTGCTATATTGATGAGTCATAACTATTTTGAAAAACATTACTTCTTCTTATGTGAGTAACCTTACTATTGGTCATTTAAACGCTCAAAGCTTGTGTCCTTCACACTCCAATGCTAAATTGGAAGAGTTTAAGGAAACTTTTTGTGATTGTGGGTTAGATATTTTGGGAATATCGGAGACTTGGTTTAAACCTAATATGTACTCTAGTTCTTTAAACCTCTCCAATTATACATTGATTAGAAATGATCGCTTATCAATAGATGTTGCCTCCATTGCGTTCATAACTCATTGCCTACTCATATTAATCTTCATAACAATAGTACCTCTCTATTAGATTTATTTCTAACAAGTCAGCTGTCTCATGTAGCCTACAATACCCAGATTCAGTATCCATTTTCTTCTCCTAATCACTGTCTTATAATAATTTCTCTTAAATTTGAATCTCAGTTGAGGCAACGATGGATCGAGTATAAAGGTTACAACAAATTCAGGATCGAAGATTATTCGGAACAAATTAATCAATTTGATTTGCGTTCCATATATAATCTTTATGATATTGATTGCAAGCTATCGATACTAAATAATTTTATTAACTTACTTCACTCCTTTGTTCCAACAGCAAGAGTTAAAACAAATACTAGGGATCACACTTCGATGAAGTCGAGTGAAATTAGACAAGCTAGAAATGATAGGGATATATCCTATTCTACCTTTATTAAAAACCCAAGTGATGAAAATTGGAAGACTTATAAACGTTTAAGAAATAAAGCAAAGTCCACAATTAGGAAGAAACGTTTTCAATTTGGCAATTTATATTTTACAGATGTAAGTGGTCCACAAATATGGAAGAAAGTTCATCAGTTAGGTTGCATTGATCGTGAAAATGTGGAAAGTTAAGTGGAAGCTATTGCGAATGACTTTTTGAGCAATATGAGTTCCTCTGATGTTTCCTTTGACTTCGATAGCTTCGTTGAAGATCCCGATGCTTTTTCCTTTCGATCTATTTCTGAGTACGAACTTTCAATATCCCTTGACTGTATTAAATCTAACGCATGTGGTTATGATTCTATACCAATTAAGTTCATTAGACAAATCCGTCCTGCTATTTCCTCTGTTTTGCTACATATTTGTAATTCTATTCTTACAGTATCCAGTTTTCCTGATGCTTGGAAACTCGGGAAGATAATTCCGATACCCAAAGATGGTCAAAACTCCAGTAGAAATTATAGGCCTATTTCCATACTGCCATCCCTATCAAAAATTCTGGAAAATGTTATGAAGGAACAAATTATTGAGCATTTTCGTCGAATATCCTTTTTAGCCCATTTCAGTTCGCTTTTCGAAAAAATCATAACACAACATCGGCTCTACTATCTATTACTGACTCAATTAGGCAACAGTTAAACAGTCGTACAAGTTGTACGCTTGTTTCTTTGGACGTCACTAAAGCATTTGATCGTATCAATCACCGTGTATTACTTGAAAAGCTTAAAGCTTCTTGATATTCAAGTCGTATGATTCTGATTTTGTAAAAAACTCTCATTTACTTCATGTTTCTTACTTACTGGCCCATAATAAGTTAGACATAAATCCTCTGAAAACAAAAGCAATGATTTTTCAGCCGAGGAATCAAACTTTTTCTTGTCTCAGTATTAAAATTGGTACAGCATTTATTGAAACTGTTAATTCTATGAAAATTCTTGGAGTATATATTGATTCTTATCTTAATTTCAGTTGTCATATTAATGATATTTCTAGAAAAGTTCGTCTTATTTTAAGGAGACTTTATAGCCTTAAGGCCTAGACCTGTTAGGAAAAGACTTGCTTTTTCTTTATTAATGTCTTTGGTGAATTATGGAATTGCATTTTTTTCTGGTACCTGGACATACAACTTAAATGGAATAGAACGGATTATTCGCAAAATTGTAAGATATATTTTTGTTATATTATTTACTACCATAGTATTAGCATTTTATAATAATCTAAAATACATGAATAATTGGCTAGGAAGCTTTCTGTGTATTGAATTTTGAAATAAAATAAAAAAGTTCCCCCAGTGTCGATGTAACAACAATAATAAATGATTGCTTAAAATTGTGATATTGTGAAAATTGTGAGTGAATGGAAGCTCTCTTAAATATTTCATAGTCATAAAATTAATAAGCATTGTGGTAATCCAAAATCACACAGACCAATTAGCTGACTATCTTTTGTCTGCAAAATTTTTGAAAAATACTCAAAAAAAATTAACGATTTTTTTAAGCAGCACGATATTTTGCCGTCTCGTTAAAATAAAGCTGCGTTTGAAGGTTATTGGCATAATGGATTGGTATTTACAGCTAATCTGCAGCTAGCTCTGGTTGAAATCAACGATTACTTTAAAAATGGAAAATTCATGGTTATCCGGAAAAATTCAAGCAATGTACATTTCACGGAAACGTAAATCATACTATTTAGCTCAACAGTAATAATTTCACAAAATGTGGGATAATTACTTCAAATGTTACAAATATTTATAATAAATATGTAGAAAATGAAATATATACCTAAACTAAATTTTTGTATGCATCACTGATTAAAGCTCAAATAAATCTTTATAATAATATGTGAAGTTCGATATATATCTATAACTATATATCTAAAAACTTTGGGACCAAGAAAGGTGTTGGCTATAAATGAAAGTTCGTTATAACCGGTGTTCACTAAAAACACACCCGACTGTATATTTTTTATTTTTTTTTTTTTTTTTAATTGGTAAATTATTTTTTGAATAGTCCAATACCCCTCCCTTTTACATTTAAGTCACTAATAATGAAATTGATATTTGATTGTGAAATGTAGTTTAAGGTCGAGAGGCTGGCTAATATGACAGAGGTATAAATAAAGTAATGATAGTATTGTGCACGATTAACCTTAAACATTTCAAATTCTGATTGGTGGACCATGTCCTATTATTACATATATCATTTTGACATACCATGTAACTAATTCGCCTGATATATATATATATATATATATTGTTGGCTCCCCAGCCTTTATTTACATTAAATAATTTTTTAAACAGATAAACAGTATTAAAATTAATTGGCAAAAACATTACCCAAGTTTCATGGATTGTTAGAGTGTGAGAATATGTGCAATTCTATAGGTAAATAGTTCCAGCATCGAGCAACCCGAACAACAAAACATCTTTCGAAAGACAGATTATGTATATGTGGTATTATTAAGTGGGTATTTCTACTCGAGTGAGAGAAAGTAAATAATTTACACACCTGCTTAGGGAATCCCGTTTTTATAATTTTATAGAAGTGTGTTAAGTTACGGAAATCAATAAATTGTCTAAACGAACAACCTAAAAAGTTTTTTACAAAATGGGAAATATGTTCACGTAACTTAATGTTATATACAAATCTGGCAATCATATTCATAATTTTCTGTAATTTATATATATATATATATGCACCTTGGTTCATCCTCGTGCAGAACTACTTCGATAAGTGTACGTAATACAACGTTTTTACCGACTTACCATTGAAGGACCAAATTTGCGATGGAAGTGATGTTGCTGTGTACACCCGGCCGATACTGTTACTTGCACCATTCGAGGCAGATTGAGCTGCCAGAGCTATACTCTCAACAAAGCTTGCCCCGGCCATGGAGACATTCTGGAAGCGTGTTATATAAGTAGTTCATAATGTTGGAATATATTTATAAAATATTTACCCGTAAGTTATCTCCCAGTGTGTGACGCTGCATGTGATTGTTGTGACCTTGTTGTGACGTTGATGAACTGGCATAATTGTTGCTATTGGCTGTAGTAATGCCTTGAGATTGTTGACTGTGGTGGTCAGTAGAGGAATTGCTGTTCTGGCCATGCATGTCTGGCACAGAACTTAAACTACGTGCACGCTGCCGGTCCACAGACGAACTTTGAAGTTCAGCACCGGTAGAGCTGCTCGAAAACGTTCGTGAACGAGGACTCTGGTGACCGCTATTTGCGGGAGTACTTGCTTTTGCGCCCATTCGTTGTAGAAAATGGGTTATAATCTAGTTCTAAATACGCAATAATTATACAGCCAACAGGCAGCCCGTATACAAAAATCTGCGGCTATTTTAATTTGTCTGAGATGGAGCTCCTCAAACTTTATGGCGTATACATTTACTCTTAATCAAATTTTGAATTCAGTCAGTCATATTGCACCACCTTCACGACTACCTTCGATCAATCGAACTTCTTTTTCTTTGTCTTGCCCCCTCACTGCTCTACTGCTGCCGTCTGAGTCGTCAATTGTTATATATGCGGGAATTCGTTAAAATCGACGATTTCCATACAATTACTTCGAGTTAATCCACTTAGATTTGAACACACTTCTCGGACTCCCCAATATACTCATAAAAAAGGACAAGAACACAAAAATACCCAAGTTGTCAAGAGTTGCTGATTTGATTTATTGTCTGGACTGTGGAGGAAATTGTTTTTTATTCGTCTTCTAACTCTGCTGTGTATGTATTGAAGGAGCTTATTTTGCTTTATTGTTATATATGTGTAAGTTCATGCTATGTCTCCACTTGTAAACTTACTTAAAACACAACAAATTTAATTTTTCAATAAAAAATGTGTTTTTTCGCAGCTTATTTTGCGTTTTTAAATGTTTTTATGCAATTTGTCAAATGGTGAAAACGAATGGCCCACCTAATCTAAAAACGTTTCGAACGCTGAGAATAGTGGAGACAGGAGAGAACAGCCGATGAAGACAAGAGCGAGAAGAGAATGGAAGGCACTCATCAAGTTACGAATGAGGTGTAAAGCATAACGCCGTGGCACTCGTCATGTTTAGAACGAAGGCAAAGAGAAAATGACAAATATGGTTTCATTGCCGTTTCGTTCGTTCTCGTTCGTATCGTTTTTTTGCGGGTTGCCACACTGTCAAATAGTTGGTCATGGTCATTTGTGTTTTAATGTTTATACATTACGTTTTATGTCATGGAAGATTTATAATAATTTGTCAGTTATCTGCGCATTATTCGGGCCGGAATTCGAATTTGTATCATAAATAAAATAAAATCTATCCCAAGGCCCGTTACCTCGATTTAATTGCTAAATCGAACTCAAATTCACCTGCCAAGGGCATGACGTGAACGATTAAGTCCACTCGATATCTCGATTTGTCATTGGGGAAGTCAATTGTGCCTTGCCTGTGTTACCAGTAACTACCGAGTTGGTATGAAATATAAGTCCGCTTTTTCTAGAAATTTAAATTTTGATACATCCATTTTTAATAAGTAGAAATATATAGATTTTATAAAAATACACAATTATCTCATTGTTGTTTTGTAGTGATGAGTAAAGACGATAAATGTCATTTTTAATACCAATTTTATTGTTATTCTTTATTAACAATCAACAAAACAACAATCAACAATTCTTGTTGATAAGATATATGTATAACATTATATAACAATTTTAAATATACACTCAGCTCCATGGTACAATTATAAAAGGTAACAGCAAATCCCAGCTGATTTGATTCCAACGTAATACTAGTGTCAATATGAATTTGACAAATTATGTTTTTAAAAATCACCCAACAGGAAAATTGAGAACGCATACAATTTGAAATTGTTCTTTATTAATGTGCTCCGTATTCAACTTACTCAATCTGCCTGCTGGGAAAGTTTGAGGAAGCAAATCTTTCTTGAAGGAATAACTCGCTATTCCCTGCATTTTCATATGTGTTACACATATATATGGCAATGGCTCAATTAAAGGAAAGATTTGGAATAGATAGAAATATAAATTTGATAGATTTTCATTCACGTTTTTCAATTTTTATTTTGAGGATTCGAAAATATTTCATTTTCAAAATAAAAATAATTTGATGATAATTTGTTTGTTTACATTTTTCTGTCAAATGAGTTGACAATAGTAGAACTTACAACAAATTTCCATGTGGTTGTTGTATCGTTTTTTTGTACAACAACACTTGCTGTTACCTTTTATTATTATACCATGCCTCAGCTCTATGGCTAATGAAAGTATATACACTTTGATATGGTGAAAATGTGCCTCATCGAAATGTTGGTTTTACACCCCATGTTTCTTTGGACCCAATCCGTTTCAAAAAATTTGGAGTCAATGTCTTTGATTTACTATTATATTACAATTCATGTTGTACATACTCAAGTTTTTCATTCCTAATAAAACTTCTACTACAAATGGATATAAGCCTAGGAGTCTCTGAGAAAAATAAAAATTATAAAATATAGAACTTCAAAAATTTATGAAAATTTTTTGAAAAAAGGAGAATTGGTCAAGAATTTATTCAAGGAAGAAGGCTACAATAACTAATAATTTATAAAGATCCAAGAAAGAAATTCCAAAAAGAAATGGATTTTTCTAAGCACATCAAGCCTTTGGAAACCGAAACGGACTATCCAATATGGAAACGGAAGATGCGTGATTTATTAGACTATCACGAAGGAACAATTGGCGTTATTGATGGTAAACTAAAGAGTCTAAATCCACCATCTTATGATGCCACGAGTGAACAAAAGAAGCTGTACAAGGAAAAGTCGGACTTGTATAGAAAAGCAAACAGTTATGCCAAATCCATGATAGCAAGCGCAGTCAGTGACAATGTGTATCAAAAGATAATGGATAAAGAAACTGCTGCTGAGGCTTGGGAATCGCTAATGGTTCAATTTGAGGCTAGATCGAAGGATCTATTATTCAAAATATGTATTGACTTCTTCTCATTTACATGGAATTTAAGTGAAGACGTGAGCTTACATATTGCAAAACTCAAAAGTTTGTGGATAGAACTCAATAACGGATTGAAAGGACGTAAGGAAAATGAGCTCCCAGAAGTTTTATTAGTTTGCGAAATCCTTCAAATTTTACCAAGTCATTTTGATCCTTTAAATCAAGCTGGATGCTTTTAACAAAAAACGAAGAGAAGAATTTTGAGGAAATGGCCGCACAACTCTGTATGTATCAAAGAAATTGAAAAGGTGCTGATGTTAAGGACGAAGAAGCATTAATGCTTAATAATGTCAGGAAAAGAATCCCACAAACCAATAATACAAAAACAAACAAGAAAAATGGTGCATGCAATTATTGTCATAAGAAAGGTCATTGGATACGAGATTGCAGAAAATGGATAAGTGATGGTAAGCCTATAAAATAAAAGAAGGCTGAAGCAATAACACCTCAACACCAGATTTGACCTTTAATGTATGAAGAGATTAACACAGTTAAGGAGGATATTTCAAAGAATTGGTGGATTGATAATGGCGTTACACGACACGTGACAAATAATAGAAATGTATTTAAATCTTTTGAGAAGTTCAAGGAATGTTGCAAGATTAAAGCGGCCGGTGGTGAAATGTTAGATGTAATTGGGAAAGGTACAGTTGGCATCAAGTCTTATGTCAACAACAAGGTACTCCAAATCACACCAACAGATGTTTGGTACGTTCCAAGAGTGTCAAGGAACTTATTTTTCTGTTTTATCAACAAATTCAACAAATGAAGTAAATTTAACGGAATCTGATAACACGTTGCAACTACAGTAAAATCCCGATAATTCGTAATGTCAAGGGACCGAATGTTTTATACGAATTAACGAGGTTTTCGAATTAGCGGGGTTTCGAATTAGCGGGAAGAAGTAAGAAAACATTTTTAATTTATAATTTTTTATTATTTCAAAACAAAATTTCTTAAAAACAATTCATTGTGACAAAAAATATTAATTCACCATGGCACGTATCACCCTTCAAACACATTGTTTTCTTGAAAGTTATGTTGTGCCTTTTCTTAAAGCGATCGAGTCATTCTTCGCTGAATTTGAAATTGTGTAAGCCCAATCTAGCGGCAAACGGTCTAGCCTTTTCTCTCATAAGCACTCCTCCAATTGGAATATTCGATTGACGGCTTTGCCAGGCACATACAAAAACTTCAGAGCAGAGAATCACTAGTCAGTGGTTTACCGTTAATGACTTACGATGAGCACAAGAAACTACTTTAAATGCACGAATGAAGAGAAAGAGATAAACAAACAATTTTATGTTTACGAATTATCGAGGTTTACGAAGAAAAATTACGAATTATCGGGCATGTTCTGGCATTCACTTCAACGGCATAAGTGTATCGAATACACGCCGAGGTGTTCTGTAACACACATTACACCCATTTGAGGTGTATTCTTTACACATACATTTTCATAGTGAGAGTCGGGTGTATTCATGTTTTTTCATATAAAAGAAAAACTTTTTTGAAATAAAAAAGGCACATGATGATAGATTGAAATGTTATTATTGCGTATAATTTGTTTAAAATCACAAAATGAACGTGAAACACCATTAAAAGCAAATTTTAAGGTTTGTCTTGAATTTTCTTCAACTGAATTTCTCGCTTGACACAAACAGCTGATTTGAAGTAAGGCCGAAAAATATAGGGTTACCAAATGTTCCCTTAAATCAATAAACAAATTAATGATATTACAGAGTTTTTCATACATATATTTTATGTTGCGAATAATAAAATATTTAAAAAAAGTAATAAAATTGTCGTTAGAATTAACGAAATTACTAAAAAATACAGAAACGATGTTAAAAACGAATACAGTTTATATTTTATGGCAACACTATTTCTGCAAAGTACCATGTCGACGTTTATTTTTGTCGCAGTTCAAAATTTCAATTCACGTGAGAAGCAGAACAGGAGGTAGCTTCTGAGGTGAAGTGTATGTGTAAAGTGAAAAGAACACACCGTGAGTTCCAGAACATACCCGTATAACAGGTATTTAGGCATTTCGTTGGAAAATTTTTACAAATTATCGAGGGGACCGAAATGTATGGGATTTTTACGAATTATCGCGTTTTTTTCTAGGGACCGGCATTTTGTTACGAATAAGCGGGGTTTACGAATTAACGGGGTTACGAATTATCGGGATTTTACTGTATATCATGAACGTTGGGGACACCAGAATAAACGCCATGTACAGAAGAAACTAAGGGAGGGATTTTATATTAATGTAAAACTTGATACGCAAATT